GTTGCAAGTGATCCAAGACATCGTAGGACCACTTTGCTGTTTGTTCGCTCCAAGCTTTGTGGGGACTGAACTGATCTGGGACCAAGGGGAGATTCAGGGAAGCACCAGCTGCCACCTGTCTTGTCTTGTTGCTGCTGGTATCATTGTTAGCATCGTTCTCACCCTCATGCTCATCATTGCCATCATCTTCGTTACGGGCAATGTCAGACTGATGCTGAGGATTCACTAACCGTTCGGTTTCCAGTAGAATCTTCAGTCCAGCTTCCTTGACAGCGTCGGGTGATAGAATCATGGAAGACGGTGTAAATAATGCTGAAGAGTGTTCACGGTTGATGGCTACACAATGCTTTTTGCAACTGTCTTCTGGTTTGCCGTCACCATTGCTAGGTCGAGCAAAATCGCTGTTTTCTGCTGATTCTGCCTCTTGCTTGAAGGAATTATGGGATGAAGCCACTTCTCTGATGGTTCTTTTTCGGCACGCCATGGTAATTTCTTTTGTGTTGTTGTGTTGCGGTTGTTTTCAAGTTGCTATTGACTTTCCTGTACCGGTACGGTAATTCAGTTTACTTTTGCTTTTTTGTGATGTGTGTTTTTGTGGAAAGGGAATCGAAGGCACAAAAAGTAGCTTTTTTCGAACGTCTTTCGATTTCACTTCGTCTCACAAATGGGAATTGGCTGGCCACGAATGTAATTTGACCAATCAAAATGACCAATTTGGAACCAGGACGCACGTACGGTATTCAGAATGAAACGGCGCAGCTGTTCTCAATCTGGATTCAGCTGGTATGGTCCTGAGGAATCAATCGCCTTCCTGTTTCTTCAAATAGAAGAGGGCACAATAGTCTTTGTCCCTAACAACATTATTTCAAGGCATTTCCGACCACTACAAGATTGTATATTATCCATTTATTCAGCTGTTCTCCCCCTTAAAGGAAAAATATTCTCCTTGAAGTATTGTTTCGGAACAAGTAGAAGGAGTTATACGCCCTTGTTAGAAGTTGTTCCGGATGCACTTTTACATACGTCTTTTGACTGTTGTTCCAATGACATGGAGCCAAAGGAGCCCGAAATTTGCCGAAACCAATTGCGTGTATGATCAAGTTCCGTAATGGTGACGGCAATTGTTGACGTCAATTGAGTATCCCAAGACCAGTTGCGATCCGCCGTCAAAGTCGCTGAAATAAGCACGCTTCTGCGGGAAAAGCGCACTTTCGGTCTACTATGACTATGGTTGTTCTGAGCGAACTTTCCACGCACAAACCCAGCTCGACTTCCTGCTCGGCAGCCAACACGACCAAAAATACCCATCGACTTTCGGAGACGGCAAGTTTCAATCGTACCAACCTTCAACTGCCACCATCAGAAGTAGGTGACGTAAGACTTTAACACGACCAAAATTGAAGAGAAACTTTCGGAACAATATGGTGACGGGAAAAATCGTAAATGTGTGAACAAAGAGGTTTTTTGCTTTTCTCTCGCTCTTGCACGTACGTACAGGTACACGTACTGTATCATTCGACGTTGTCAGGTCAAGGTTCGTACACCGGTAGGTAGGACGGTACACGCACGTGTACACACATATATACTTTACTGTAGCAAATCAAATCCACGCGTGCATAAATTCAATATTAATATATATACTGTACCCTGGTACCAGGGTACTTGTACCGTACAGACGTATTTTATACATTCAAGTTGTTTCATTGAAGACGTACAGTAGATACAATACATACTCGAATCTATGTGACATGTTGCAAAAGAAACTATTGCCTCTTTCGGACTATAAAGCAACAAGCAAATTCTGGTTTTAGTGAGGGATGGTGATTCTCCCGGAAGGTCAGGAATCCTTATTATGGCAACAGACTTCGCTATTAGCTTTGGAACAGAGAGTCTATCATAACGAGCAACGAATCTGATCTGATCCAATCCAATCCAATCCAATCCGGCATAGGTAAGAGGCGCAAACGGCGGATCCTGTACCTGACATAACTGCACGGCATGCAATTTGCCTTCGCATCATCAATATACTACAATATACCGACGATAGACCGCGCATAGAAAATTGAGGTGCAAAATGTATCTGTCCACCTTCAGATGAATATCCATATACTCAAATGCAATTGCCATATTGAATATACTGTAGTAAGAGGGGGCATGACCGCTGATAGTGGTGCAGAATTTGACATATGCTGACGAGCAATGTATTGTGTGGATAATATGTTCAAAGTTTCTAGTATATTTCACTTTATCGCTAGATTACCGTATCGTGGAGTATGGATCCACAGTAGATGCTGCCTGAGCTTGGCTCTTAGACATTTGTTTCTTCAGTTGTTTATCATCTGGCATGAGAGATTTTTTTTGGA